ACATAAACATCCACATCTTGTAACTTTTTCTTCCCCCATTCTATTCAGAGGCAGAGAGAGGCAAGAGAGAGAGAGAGACAAGAGAGAGAGAGACCAGAGCGAGACACAAGAGAGACCCCCAGAAAGAGCAGCGAGAGAGACAGAATAGAAAGACAATAGAGACCAGAGAGATAGACAAGAGAAAGATCAGAAAGGGAGAGAGACAAGAGAGGGACCAGGCAGAGATATAAACCAGAGAAAGGGGAGACCAGAGTGAGAGACCAGAGAGAGAGAGCGTAGTAAGAGACAAGAGAGAGAGAGACCAGAAGGAGAGGGACCAGAAAGACAGGGACCACAGAGAGACCAGCTCAAGAGACCAGAGAGAGCCTAGAGAGAGACCAGAGTGAGAGACCAGAGAGAGAGAGAGTAGTAAGAGACAAGAGAGAGAGACCAGAAGGAGAGAGAACAAAAAGACAGAGACCACAGATAGACCAACTCAAGAGACCAGAGAGAGCCTGGAGAGAGACCAGAGTGAGGGACCAGAGAGAGCCTGGAGAGAGACCAGAGTGAGGGACCAGAGAGAGAGAAGACTAGTAAGAGACAAGAGAGAGAGACCAGAAGGAGAGAGACCAGAAAGACAGAGACCACAGAGAGACCAGCTCAAGAGACCAGAGAGAGCCTAGAGAGAGACCACAGTGAGACATACTGTATTATCTTCCATTATACAGTACATTAATTGATAAATTCGCTTATTGTCATTTGTCTTTATGATTTTCAGAGTTAGGTTTTAAGATCTACTTTAAAAAAAAAACAGTTTTATTTCATAGTTGCTTCATCACATGTTCCGGCATGTTCCGCGCTGATAGAAGCCGCCATCCAAACCCGTGTGAAACTGCCCCATGGTCCTCAATTAAAAGAGGATTGGAGTCATTTTGATGCTTTGGTGATTCCCTGATTAAACATTGGGGCCCTCACACACGCACACACACGCACACACACACACGCACACACACACACACACACACACACACTCGCACACGGACACACACAGAACAATGGTACGTCTGTTAAAACACATATGCAGGTCACTGGGGCCAGAGATAGAGAGTACAGTTGGTGTTGGCGAGATAAAGCCACTGTCAGAAGAGTAAGGAGATATGCTTTGTTAATTGAATCAGTGGAATAAACGTTTGGTCGAGGTTAAAGTTTAGACAGAAAACTAGTTGGAGTTTCACCTGAGATTGTGTCATCTTAAAGCAAAGGTACCTAATTTTCAAACCGCAACAATGTATTTATCTGTGTGATAAAAGTCAGATCAAGAAGTCCCTTTTCTTCCATCACTAGTTTTTAGAATAATGTATTTTTGTTCTCTCTCTTCACTCTCTGGTCTCACATTCTGGTCTCTCTCTGGTCTCTTTCTGGTTTTTCTCTCTCTGGTCTCTCTCTGGTCTCTCTTTGGTCTCTCTCTGGTCTCTCATTCTGGTCTCTCTCTGGTCTCTCTTTGGTCTCTCTCTGGTCTCTCATTCTGGTCTCCCTCTGGTCTCTCTTTTCTCTCTCTTGTCTCTCATTCTGGTCTCTCTTAGGTCTCTCTTAGGTCTCTCTCTGGTCTCTCCTTTGTCTCCCATTCTGGTCTCTCTCTGGTCTCTCTCTGGTCTCTCATTCTGGTCTCTCTCTCTGGTCTCTCTTTGGTCTCTCTTTGGTCTCTCTCTGGTCTCTCATTCTGGTCTCCCTCTGGTCTCTCTTTTCTCTCTCTTGTCTCTCATTCTGGTCTCTCTTAGGTCTCTCTTAGGTCTCTCTCTGGTCTCTCCTTTGTCTCCCATTCTGGTCTCTCTCTGGTCTCTCACTGGTCTCACATGTATGTTTATTTCCCGCCACACGCTGTGGCCGTGTATCTCATCTTTAGATCAGCTTTTTTAGACATAAAAGAGAAACAAAAGGACCACCCTCACTCAGCCAATCAGCTTTCACCTCAAATAGTCAAAAAGTGACTCACAGGGCTCTTTTGTAATAAATATTGATAATGCATTGGTTTTATAATGTGCTTTTCTGGACGATCAAACACTCTTCACTTCATTATTGAAACACACACAATAGACTCTCATTCTAATGTGGGTGAAGTGTTCCCAGAGGTCTCCCATCACAGCTCTAACCAGGCCCTGCTTTGCTTAGCTTCAGAGGCCTGACATGATCTGGCAAGTATGCAATAGATAACAAATTTGCACATCAGAGAAATACAGCAAGTTGAGACGTGACATCACAATATTTCTCTTTTACATGATTCTGATGAGACACAAAAACGTGTTATTGATGAAACTGAAATTAGGTCCCCCAGCTTTAAAGGTGCAAGTACTTCCTGTTTTTCAATGCTACAGATTAGAGCGTTGTGTTGTGTTTTGGCAGGTCGCCATCAAGTCGATCCGAAAAGACAAGATCAAAGACGAGCAGGACATGGTTCACATCCGGCGAGAGATCGAGATCATGTCGTCGCTGCGTCACCCTCACATCATCTCCATCTATGAAGGTGAGGAGCAAGGTTATTAGTATGGCACAGGTACAGCAAGCAACCCAGGCTCTGCCCTACTCTACTGTGCCATACCCTACTCTAGTCTAGTCTAGTCTAGTCTACTCTACTGTGCCATACCCTACTCTTGTCTAGTTTACTCTACTCTACTCTACCCTACTCTACTGTACCATTCCCCACTCTAGTCTAGTCTAGTCTAGTCTACTGTACCCTACCCTAGTCTAGTCTAGTCTAGTTTAGTCTACTCTACTGTACCCTACCCTAGTCTAGTCTACTCTACTGTACCCTACCCTAGTCTAGTCTAGTCTACTCTACTGTACCCTACCCTAGTCTAGTCTAGTCTAGTCTACTCTACTGTACCCTACCCTACTCTAGTCTAGTCTAGTCTACTGTACCATACCCTACTCTAGTCTAGTCTAGTCTAGTCTACTGTACCATACCCTACTCTAGTCTAGTCTAGTCTAGTCTACTCTACTGTACCCTACCCTACTCTAGTCTAGTCTACTGTACCATACCCTACTCTAGTCTAGTCTAGTCTAGTCTACTGTACCATACTCTACTCTAGTCTAGTCTAGTCTAGTCTACTGTACCATACCCTACTCTAGTCTAGTCTAGTCTAGTCTACTGTACCATACTCTACTCTAGTCTAGTCTGGTCTAGTCTACTGTACCATACTCTACTCTAGTCTAGTCTACTGTACCATACCCTACTCTAGTCTAGTCAGGTCTAGTCTAGTCTACTGTACCATACCCTACTCTAGTCTAGTCTAGTCTTGTCTAGTCTAGTCTACTGTACCATACCCTACTTTAGTCTAGTCTAGTCTAGTCTACTCTAGTTTACTCTTACTGCTTACTAGTGGCGGCACGGTGCCTCTCAGTAATAAGGTCCTGAGTTCGAATCCCGGTCGGAACGGGGTCTTTCTGAGTGGAGTTTGCATGTTCTCTCCGTGCTTGCGTAGGTTTCCTCCGGGTACTCCGGTTTCCCCTACCACTAAAAACATGCTCACTAGGTTAAATCCTCCAGCTCCGATAGTACAGACCAAGCCGAGCATCAACATCTGGAGATGGGTTCCCGGGCGCTGTTACTACGGCAACCACTGCTCCTGACTAGGGATGTAAATCGGCGACCGTTTAACCGGTGGTTGACCGTCACAGCGTTAACCGGTCAAAGCTGTCGGTTAAAAAAGAGAAAAAGGGGAGAGGGAAGGTCTCTTAATAACGCTATTTTAAGCCCTATTTGCACGATGTGACGAGCGGGTCTGTATCTAGCTGTGTGCGCCAATGTATTATAAACTCCGGGACGACTCTCACGCCGCACGAGCCACATATGCGCGCACACACACACACACACACACTTTCCCCCTCTCCATCTCTCCATACGTAACATCCACACGCATCATCTCTCCCCCTGTTACCGTCAAAGTTGCACACTGGCGCGGGTCAGAACTACATTGGAGCTTACATTTACACACACACATATACACACACATACACACACACATACACACATACATACACACGTACATACACACACACATACCAGTCTGTCGCGCTCCTCTGTGTCACGGAGCCCAAAGGATTCGCGCAAATACGCGGCTCCAGTCAAACCACATGGAACATGTTTGTGTTTCTGGTCCTCGGGATCAGCTCCACACACATCACTTGTATTTAAACTTTTGTGAAGACCTGTGAGACGCGGCTCGTCACTCGCTGCTCTGACCATGTGAACGAGCCGTCGTTTGCTGCTAGACATTTTTGGTATTAACCCGCAGCACAGCAGAATGGGAAGATTAAAAAAGCAGTTCTCTGTGCGCAAAGGTGCCGGAGCTGTTGCGGGTTTTGGCGCCGCTGTCTCGACTCTGATCCAGTAGAACGCAGAGCTGCACTTATGAAAAGTACGTGGTTCGAAATGGCTGTTATTTCAAAGAACGTGGACTATTTTAAACTACGCGGTTAACCGGTTTCAACCGGTTAATGAGGCTCGGTGGTCGGTCATGAAAATTCATAGTTTTTTACATCCCTACTCCTGACGTAAGCGTTTGCATTTGACCCATCCTGATGCCGCAGAGGATGAATTGCCCTACGGGGATTAATAAAGTGCACCATTCCATACCATACTTTACTCTACGCTACCCTACTCTACTTTACCCCACTCTTTTCAAGTCTAGTCTAGTCTAGTCTACTCTACTCTTCGCTCTTATACCTGGACAGGTTTTTATTTAGTATCTGGTACCATATGCGAGCAACCTACCCACAACAAACCACACAGATATAGACACACACACTCACACAAATACACACACACACACACACACACACACACTCACGCAAATACACACACACACACACGCACACACTCACGCAAATACACACACACACACACGCAAATACACACACACACACACACACACACACACACATGCACACACACACACACACACACGTCTCCGTCTGGGTTCTCCAGTCTTTGATTCATGTGAGTCTGGATGTGTGCATGTGGT